AAGGCAAATCAGAAATAATGCCTCTCCAGACAGTTGCAAGTATGTCTCAAACATATTTACTATGTGGAGAAGAAAAACAATCTTCATTGAGAATTTATATCACAGGCTGACCTTTGCTTGGAGTTTGAAAGACATTAGACAAAGATGAAGAAAAAATTAATAATCTGGAAGAAAATGTCTGATAATATGATGCAAAAATGCATCAAAAGAGACAAAGAGATGGCAAATATGAAAGAGGTTAAAAGACACAAAAGTCAAAACAAGAAGCTCTAGCATACACCTAGTCAGAGTTCTATAAAGAATGAAGTGAGGAAATACAGGAGAGAAAATATTTGAAGACATGATGGGTGATAATTTTCCAGGAAATATGCAAGATGCCAATCCACAGATTCAAGAACCCCAAAGAATCTGAAGCAGGATTTCAAAAAAAATCCTGTCTCAGATCTATTGTGGTGAAACTGTAGAATACCAAAAGAAAAAAGAAGATATTAAAAGCAGACAGAGAAAAAAGGTAGATAACCTTCAAAGGAATGACATTTAAAATGACAGCTGACTTCTCCATAACAGCAACGGAAGGTAGAAATCATGATGATATCTTCAGCTTGCTAAGTAAAAATACATTACATAAGTGAGAGCAAAATAAAGACATGTCCAGATAAGTAAAAACTGAAAGAGTGTGCTACCAATCACTTCAGGAAGGGTACACTAGGCAGAAGAAAAGCAGCCCCAGGTAGGACTGAGTAATAAGGAATCATAACAAGAAATATGAAAAATGTGGAGTAAGTCTAAATACATACTGACTGTGCACAACAATGTTGATATCTCATGAAAAATTTTTGAGATAAAATTAAAATACATGACTATACTAGCATATAAATCACAAATCATATGATTGAAGTTAAAATACTCTAACTTTCTTGATTATTTGAGAGAAGAGTAAATATACTTCTTAACTTTAGATTTGGGTCATTTACGTATGCAGGCTAAATGTTCAGGGTAATAAAAAGTGGAAATAGAGGGCCTAATTTCCAAACTAGTAGATGAGAAAAATGTACTGAGAAAAAAAAATCAATCTAAAAGAACACAAGAATGGGAGGAAAGAAACAGAAAAGGCAGGACAAATAGAAAGCAAATAACAATCCATATATACCTGTAATTATAAAAACTAGAAAAGAACAACTAGGTTAAAGACAAAGACTGTCAGAGAAGTTTTTTAAATTAACTATAAGCCGATTATTGGGGAAGAATATACAGACACAGAAAGTAGAAGGATGGGATGAAGATATACTAAGCAAATAACCAGAGCAAAGTTGGGATATTTCTACTAGTATTGGATAAATGAGACTTTTACTAGAGCCAGAGAGAGTTTCTATATAAAAATAAAAATTTCAATTCGCCAGGGAGATATAATATTTTGAAGATGTGTGCCTAAGAATTAAATTTCAAAATATATAAAATTTGGATAAATGAGACTTTTACTAGAGCTAGAGAGAGTTTCTATATAAAAATAAAAATTTCAATTCACCAGGGAGATATAATATTTTGAAGATGTGTGCCTAAGAATTAAATTTCAAAATATATAAAATAAAATTTGACAGAAATTTTACAAGAAATAAACTTTACAAGAAGAAATAAATTTGTCTCCCTCATGGAAGACTTAAACACATCCTTCTAATTAATTGATACAACAATAGAATTAGCAAGCTTGATTCCTTGCATTCAACAACTGCAATTCAAAAACTGCACAGAAATTTTCAAAAACTTGACCACATACTGGGCCTTAAAGTTAGTCCCAACACCACTTCATACACTACGCAACACAACCTCATTAAGTTGGCCGCTGGGAAGGACTGGCCACATGTAGGTAAGCTTGTTCCATAAAGGATTTTCAACTCTGGAATGTTTCCACTGGCATGGCTTACTGGTCCCTTCATGCTTTATGGCCCATCTAAAACAAAAGAAAAGACAAAAGATAAAAAGGAATTTAGTGAGTTTAAGTATTACTTCAAATATTTATTTTATTCATTGACTACGTACTTGCTATGTGCTAGGCAGACTCAGTTTGATTTAAAAATCCAACTCTGACAATCTTCTGTTTACAAGAGACACAAATGAAAGTAATTTACAGATTAAAGAGTAAAATTTTAGATCAGGAAAACATACTTAAATTAAGGCGAAATTGGCATTGTTATACTAGACAGTGGAATTTGAGGCAAAAGGCAAAGTAGAATAACATAGTCACTTTATAATAATGACATAAATAACAATATTAACAGAAAAAAAATCAAGCAAAACTTTAGATATTCAAAGAGAAACTAACATACACACAATTATTGTGGGAAACATTATTACATAACCAACAGATTATAAAGTAAATTTTTCTTAAGCAATAAATAAGGACATAAAATACCTGACTGCTATAACTAATACATGTAAATATGAAAATTTATTTATACAAATTATAGCATGCTAACAGAGAATACATCTTTCTCAAAAATTCATGAAACATTTGTAATATCTGCCTTATATTCACAAACTTTAATACAGCTTTAAAATTACAATTGAACAAGCCACATATTGTCTCTAATGATAGAATAAAATTAGATATAAATGCAAGTTTAAATTTTACAATTTCAACCACATTGTAATTAAATAAACACAGACACAAAACAGTCTTTCTCCTCAAATTCTACTACACTAGATAGGGGGAAAAATTACACGATTAATAGATATTTCATGAGCAAGGAAAGCAATATACAGTATATGAAAGCTTATAGTCTACATCTAAAATTACATTCAAAACTAAATTCATAATATTAATAGCTAATTTATAAAGATCTCAATAGAGAAGGGAAATTAATAAAGCATTCAACTTAATTTATTTTAAAATTTGTGTAAAATTGTCCTGCGGAAAATACAACTAGGTGAAGGGAAATAATAAAGATTCAAGTAGAAATAATTTAGAAAATAGAGCCTCAGTAGAATGGTTTAAAAAAAATTCTTTTGAAATAAAAAATGGGATATAAAATCTCTTGCAAATAAATCTAGATTAATAAAAATACAACACAAATCAAATGGAAAAATTGAATTAAATAGTTAACATAGAGAAGATAAAAAGTAAGGTATATTATGCATTTATATATTAATAAATAGAAAAATTCTGATGAATAAACAAATTTCTGGGGAAAACTCAGATTTGAAGTAGAATATAGGAAACAGAAAACATGCTCTTGGTCATATAGCTTTGAAGGTCAAGGGACAGATCATTTCCATGCTATAAAAAATATTCTAAGCCATAAAGACACGGAAAACTAGTTGCTTCATCACATGAAGGGGAGATAAGCTTCATAATAAAGTCAGTCCCTGGTCATTTAAGAAGAGATACAACAATCTTACTTACAATTAAAGATGTAAAATTCCTAAATCAATATTAGCCAATAAAATTTAATATTACAACATGAGAATAATCACCATAGCTAAGAAATACTATGAAATGAAATAATGGGTATCATTCAATATCCATTTCAATACTAAGAAATGAAATGATGGATATTTATTAACATAGTAGATCAGGGATTAATGAATATGAATGTAGGAGCGGTGCATCACCCATAATTTTCTAGAACACATGATGGTCATCTTAGCCTGGAAATTTTCTGAGATCACCCAGCCCCTTCAGAACCATCCATAGTACTCAACCGTATGTTCAATGATCCAGGTTTCCCATAAGCTTGCTGGAAATTTATGGGGCCCAGACACCAGGCGATGGTCATCTTAGCCTGGAAATTTTCTGAGATCACCCAGCCCCTTCAGAACCATCCATAGTACTCAACCATATGTTCAATGATCCAGGTTTCCCATAAGCTTGCTGGAAATTTATGGGGCCCAGACACCAGGTGTGGTGGTATCAGGAAAGACCTACTTCTTACCAACATGAAACAAGGAAGAACCAAGTTGAGGGCTCTCGGAAGCCAAAGCGGTGGTGGTAAGTGATATTTCTGTGTTGTACGTCTCTTCCTTTCTCAGTGAAATCATGCACTCATTATCCGAAATATGCAAGATGCCAATCCACAGATTCAAGAACGCTGATTAGGCAGTTTCATTGCAGTTTCAGAGTCAAAAATCTAATTGGAACTTCTTTAAGAGAGGAGAAGAGAAGAGGAGATGTTTCTTTTAAAGAATTTGCTGTAAAGGAACCTAAAGAAATATAATAATAACCAGAGGTAGATGTGGAATGTAGGAGGGTTAGGAGGGTTTTTGTTTTTTTTTACATGTTTTGTTTTCTCACAATGTCTCCTAGAGTGTTAGCGACATACAAGACAATAAATATCTAATAACTTGAAATGAAGCCTAAAGAGAAATGGAAAGTTCATTCATCAGGCAACATAGTTGAGCTATCAGAATATTAGTGAACAACTTCAGAAGGTGTTAAGCTCCTGCTGTTGCAGCTGAAAGTAATACAAACACACGTATTTTATGGTCACATCAATTTTACTTTATTTTTTTTGAATACCTGACTATCTCCAAGGACGTGCTTCTTTTGAAAACCCCTCTTGCTGTAGTTTTATCATCCACATGTCAAGTTCTTCTGGGCTTGGAGGTGCGAAAACGCTCTTTCTTGCTCCTCATAGCCACTTCCAGAGATTATTGTTACTCTATCTACTGCCAAGGATCGCCAGTTGCTTTGAAGCACATGTCAATAGACTACAACACCTGCCACACTTCTTTGTGGCATTCCTATCAGTTCTCCTGTGTCCTCCCTTCTAATTTATTCGAGAGTTTACCATCTTGGTTGTTCTCGCCACCTCTGCTCTTTGAATCATTCAACATCTTTTAAATATTTAAGTAGAAAATTCATCCTGGCTTCTCAGTGTCTCCCAATTCCTCAACTGTACCAGATACTCCAATCCATTGCATCCATTAGCTTTTCATACTCCTAACCTCCCTGCCAGGTAAGTTCTTCTCTTTGTACTCAGCTAAGATTCATGATCCAGCATTATAACCACTCTCTTGTCCCATCCTCAGTCCATTGTCTTTCTCTTCCTTCTTTGCACTCACTTAAAAATATATATATAATATGTATATATATATATATATATGTGTGTGTACATATTTATATATAATTGGTATATATATGTATATATATACCAATTACCTATTTGAGTCTAATTCTCTACTTATTCAAAGTCTCTTCTTCAACAATTGAACAGTGGTTGGAGAAAAACACACAAAAAATCATGGATGGAATCCCTACAAATAAGAGAGCACAATGAGGGTGGGAAGCAGTGTATATTACATTTTTGGTTGTCACAATGATCAGAGGCCACTACTGTCATGTAATTGGCAGAGTACCAAGAATACCAAATATTCTTCAAAGTGTCAGAAAGTTTGTCCTGCAACCCACAGACCTTTAAATTTCCCTCTGAGCATTCACGTAGATGAAAATCTATTTATCTGAACCTAAAACCAAACTATATCTTACAGAAAACACAAAGTATTTTTACACAATTTTAATAAACACTGAGATTTTTAGGAATTCAAATCCCTTCAATATCTCAAGGAGGAAAGATATGTTTGAGTTTTTTCATGTCATTCAGTCTTGGAAAAATCACATCACTAATGGCCCTACCATTCATGGTATCTGAGTCACCAATATAATACAGTTGTATCCCTTGGTATTTGTAGTTCACACATTCAGGTGATTCTATGAATAGGATCAAGAATGTGAAAACTTAATAATGCTGTCTAGTATAGCTGTGCTGAGACTGTATTGAAATACATACTACTTTCTTTTTAAAGGTTTCTTTTCCTAACCATTATTATTACTGGTCAGACACTTCTTTCAAATTTATATTGGTGGGTAGGTTATCTTAGCTATGAATTTTATTTTAGGATAGTAAAGAAGTCATTACAAAATATCTGTTATAAAAAGTGAACATCACATCTGATAGTACTGATGGTTACTATTTCAAATTTACAACAAAAAACCTCAAGTGAGCCCTTAGGACTGCTGGGCCATCCTGTCACTGCATCCTTCTGCACATTGACTGCAGCTCTCTGAGGGGCACACCACTTCCTTCTCATTAAATCTCTCACTCCTTGCTGCCCAATTGTCAATGTCTGCTGTAGACCTTCTTATTTCACTGAGAAAACAGAAGTGGTCAGAAAAGACTTTCTTTATCCTCCCACCAGCAAATCCAGCCAGCTCCCTGCCTCTGCAGCCAGATATCCACCTTCCCTTCTGCTACAGTAAAGCTGTCTCTGCTCTGAGCCAAGGCCAACACTTCTGCTCGTGCCCTAGATCCTTATCCTCTCTCATCTAGGACTTTGTTCCTGCCCTGCACTATTAATTTTCCTTCCCTTCTGGGTCATCCCATCTGCACAATGTCTGACAATCTGACATCTTGAAGACAAAAACAAAAAAACAAAAACCCTCCTAACCCTCCTACATTCCACATCTACCTCTGGTTATTATCATATTTCTTTAGGTTCCTTTACAGCAAATTCTTTAAAAGAAACATCTCCTCTTCTCTTCTCCTCTCTTAAAGAAGTTCCAATTAGATTTTTGTCTCTGAAACTGCAATGAAACTGCCTAATCAGCGTTCTCATATCACCAAAGCCAAAGGCCATTTCTTAAGACATACCTGAACTAACAACAGTGTCTGATAAATGATCATTTCCTCCTCCTTAAACGCTGTCTTCACTTGACTTTATTTGACTTCCATGGAACCACATTCTCCTGGTTTTCACCCACATTAGTAGCTAAAATTGTTAGTCTCCTCTTGTGTGCCAGAGGGTAGGAAATAAATCCTCTGAAAATCCACCCAGGGCCTGATATTTCAAGGGAGGTCAGATAGATGCTTGTTGATTTGATGCATGCGGGGATATTATTCTATGATAAAGGACAAAGTGCATCTTGTACATCATACAACAAAGAAAAAAGCACAG